TGTTTTCACCTCAAATAATCTTACATAGTTTTTTGGGAGAGGTCTCCAGTTGAGTTTTTAATTGGACGATATTGTTGGGTTTTTGTAGATTTATTATAGAATTCGTATCAATAATCCAAGTCGTTGAATATATAAAATTTGTTAAGTATTTCATCTTTATAAAAAAACATATTAATTGGATATCGATAACTATTTGATTAGGTCACATTTGTATCAATAATTTATTTTAAAAATTATACTTATCATTGACATAAATGTGATATGATCAAGTGACTACCGATATTCAATCAACGTGATTTTTTTTAAAAATTATACTTATCATTGACATAAATGTGATATGATCAAGTGACTACCGATATTCAATCAACGTGATTTTTTTTAAAAATTATACTTATCATTGACATAAATGTGATATGATCAAGTGACTACCGATATTCAATCAACGTGATTTTTTTTAAAAATTATACTTATCATTGACATAAATGTGATATGATCAAGTGACTACCGATATTCAATCAACGTGATTTTTTTTAAAAATTATACTTATCATTGACATAAATGTGATATGATCAAGTGACTACCGATATTCAATCAACGTGATTTTTTTTAAAAATTATACTTATCATTGACATAAATGTGATATGATCAAGTGACTACCGATATTCAATCAACGTGATTTTTTTTAAAAATTATACTTATCATTGACATAAATGTGATATGATCAAGTGACTACCGATATTCAATCAACGTGATTTTTTTTAAAAATTATACTTATCATTGACATAAATGTGATATGATCAAGTGACTACCGATATTCAATCAACGTGATTTTTTTTAAAAATTATACTTATCATTGACATAAATGTGATATGATCAAGTGACTACCGATATTCAATCAACGTGATTTTTTTTAAAAATTATACTTATCATTGACATAAATGTGATATGATCAAGTGACTACCGATATTCAATCAACGTGATTTTTTTTAAAAATTATACTTATCATTGACATAAATGTGATATGATCAAGTGACTACCGATATTCAATCAACGTGATTTTTTTTAAAAATTATACTTATCATTGACATAAATGTGATATGATCAAGTGACTACCGATATTCAATCAACGTGATTTTTTTTAAAAATTATACTTATCATTGACATAAATGTGATATGATCAAGTGACTACCGATATTCAATCAACGTGATTTTTTTTAAAAATTATACTTATCATTGACATAAATGTGATATGATCAAGTGACTACCGATATTCAATCAACGTGATTTTTTTTAAAAATTATACTTATCATTGACATAAATGTGATATGATCAAGTGACTACCGATATTCAATCAACGTGATTTTTTTTAAAAATTATACTTATCATTGACATAAATGTGATATGATCAAGTGACTACCGATATTCAATCAACGTGATTTTTTTTAAAAATTATACTTATCATTGACATAAATGTGATATGATCAAGTGACTACCGATATTCAATCAACGTGATTTTTTTTAAAAATTATACTTATCATTGACATAAATGTGATATGATCAAGTGACTACCGATATTCAATCAACGTGATTTTTTTTAAAAATTATACTTATCATTGACATAAATGTGATATGATCAAGTGACTACCGATATTCAATCAACGTGATTTTTTTTAAAAATTATACTTATCATTGACATAAATGTGATATGATCAAGTGACTACCGATATTCAATTGAGAAAAAATTCTAGGTTTTTTAATTGGAGGATATTGTTGGATTTTTGTAGATTTATTATAGAATTTGTATCAATAATCCAAATCGTTGAATATATAAAATTTGTTAAGTACTTCATCTTTATAAAAAATCATATTAATTGGATATCGATAACTATTTGATCAGGTCACATTTGTGTCAATAATTTATTTTAAAAATTATACTTATCATTGACATAAATGTGATATGATCAAGTGGCTACCGATATTCAATCGACGTGATTTTTTGCAGCGATGAAGTACTTGACGATTCTTACACATTGAACTGTTTGGATTATTGATAAGGGCTCCATGGTAAGTCCATGGAAGCCCAACAGTAACCTCCAATTCAATTTGAACTGAAGAGAAGCTTTTCCCTAATTTTTTGGGGGTAAATTTTGATTTTATTAGTGAGTTTTGATTTTGTTTTGAATAAATTACACTTTATCCCTTTTAAATTTGACTTTTTTTATTTTTCTCCATTTGGGCCGTTACATTTCAAAATTTTCCCAATACATTTATAACACTAACGTCCGTCAAATTCTAGACAAAAAATGCCACATGGAAGCCATGTGGCATTAAAAATGCATTATTGTATAATCCAAGGGTGATATTAGGGATACAAAATTTTCTATCAAATGTGGGTGTGGAGTCCTCACACTCATGTAAGGCATTTGGTTATTTATTTAGTAGAAAATTTGGGACTTATAACATTTTCCTTAACACAGACCCCCCAAAACCCGAATCCCTAATATCTGTTGCAGTTTCACAATTTTGGTATAATTATATTAAGTTTTCTTGAAATTTTAATTCATAAATCACTTAATTCCTTTTTTATTAATAATTTGCTAGTTATATAGATTAAAAAAATGATATTTATTATCCCTTTTACACAAAAATATATACTCATATTATTTATTTTTATATTTTCACGCCATCTACCGTACTTTCGGCCGGTTTAACTTAAAAAAATCAGTATAATTATCTGAAAATTATAAAACTTATTTTATTTGTTTCAAATTTCTGAAGAGTCCAGTATAATTTCTCTCTTTTTTTTTTTTTTTTTTTTTTTTTCTTCTTTTGGGTTTACACGTAATACATAAGTATAACAAGGACAAGAATAGACCAGAACCAAAGACGACACTGAATAACCCTTACGTCATGCCCAGCAACCACCAACGACCCTTAAAGAGGCAGTCGAACGACACCCAACCAGCAACGAGGCTGGGCGTTGTGAGGAAGACCCTTAACAGGGCCTGGAGGAGCTTGCCGAGGGAAAGGGAAGAAGAGAAAATGGCTAGCGACGCTGGTGAGGAGGTGAAGAGAGGCTGTCGGTGCTGGTGCTGTGGTGTAGTAGGGCTGTCGGCGCTGGTGGAGTGGTGTAGGAAGGTTGTTGGCTTTGGTGGGGTGGTGTAGATACTGCCATAAAATCAAATCATAAAATTACTTTAATCTATTTTTAAATTTGTAACCCACTTTTTTTATTTAATAACATTTTAAATATATAAAAAATTAAATCATAGATTAAACTAAATACTCTAATTTATTACTATAAAATTACCTTATTTAATAATATTTTAAATTAAACATATGCATATATAAATTATAAATTAATCTAACTTCCTTAATTTATTATCATGAAAATACCTTAATTAATTATTAATTTTTAACTTCATTTCTTATTTAATAACATTTTAAATTATATATACAAACACCTATCGTTCTTTTTTTTTTTTGATTTCTTTAATTATTTTTTTTTACTCTATTCTGCAATTTGTTAGGAACATTACAATATCTACTATTGGTTGCCTCTCTTTTTTAAGTTTTAATTTTAATTTTTTTGATTTGATTTTATGGTAATAAAGGTGTTTAGATTAATTTATGATTATATATATATATGCATCTATAATTTAAAATGTTATTAAATAAGAAATTAAGTTAAAAATTTAAACTTAATTAAGGCAATTTTATGATAATAAATTAAGGTAGTTACATTAATTTATAATATAATTTGTTATACATATAAATATATGTATGTTTAATTTAAAATACTATTAAATAAGGTAATTTTATAGAAATAAATTTTTATGATTTAATTTGTTATAAACCAAACCAAACCAAACCAAACGAAGCCTTAAGTCCCATCAAATGGGGTCGGCTTAATTTGTTATATATATGTTTATTTTAAAATATTGTTAAATAAAAAGTGGGTTAAAAATTAGATTAAGGTAATTTTATGATTTAAACAAAAAATAAACCTAAACAATAAAACTAAAAAGTAGAAAAGAAAAAAGAAAAAAAGACAGTCATCTAGCACAACGGAGTAGACGAAAATAGAGTGGAAGACAAATTAAACAAATCAATATTTGATTAAATAAAAAAATAAATAAGAGATAAAAATATATAAATAAAATAATCAATTTGGGTTTTCCTGGATGTTTTAACACCCATTTAATAGTATTGTCTTATATAGTGAAGGGTAATTTTGGTCTTTTGGACAAATCATTTTTGGATGAAAATTTGTCAAACAGAGCAATACTTGCAAATGAGACATGTGCAATCCACTTACCGTTTGTTTGGATGAAAAAGATAACAGTTACAGATCAATCCAAAATCATAAAAGAGATGTTTATATATTTTCAAATCTCAAGGGATCATCTGCAACCGGCCAAAATCACATAGAGTTAAGTGCATTTTACCTTTTTTTTTGGATTAACGGAATTGCTATCCTAACCATTCAATGGGCGTTGAACATGTAGTATATCATTTTATTCATTTAGTAAAGTTTACTTTTTAGTTTGTAGCAAATATTAATGTGCTTATATTTATTTTTGATAAAAATAAAATAAAAAAACAAATTTAGTATGCTATTATTTTAAAATTTTATTTTTGAAAATAAATGAAAAATATTATTTGCAAGAGCTAGTGGATGAAAGTGGTTGCCACTGATGAAAAAGCTAATTTATGATGGCAGATTCTTTACCCATAAAAAAGAGAGAAAAAAATGATGCACAGCTAGAATGAATATCACAGGAAATTCGTCAATCAACTTTGTTGCAAAAGTGCCATCAATGTCTCACACATAAATTACAAGACATACAAAATACAAAGTGTTAATAACGCCTACCATAGTTAATTATTCATGTCACAATTGGCATATATTAATGTGACATCAAATGTCTCATAGTATTATCTGGAGCTCCAACCAAACCTTTCAACACACTTCAAATGACAACAACAAACCAACCTTCAATGTTTGAAATCAACAACTATGCTTCTTGAGGAAGGTAAGGACTATTTGGTCCACCTCATTGGGGAGTTGCTCCTGAACGAAATGACTGCCTTCAGGCAAGTATGTTATCTCCAAATCAGGGACAAACACTTTCACTTGTCCGCTCCTTATGTAGTCCTCCACTCCTGGAAATTTGACAAAATAATCCTTCTCGCCCATGATCAGTAATGTCGGAGCTTCAACTTTCATGTTTGGAAAGTTGAACTCTTCTTCGATAGACCTGTAAAACAACACATAAGTGAAGCTATATTATTATTATTATTATTTTTTTTTGAATAGATGAAGCTATATTATTAGATGGTAGCCAATTCTGTACAATAGTTTCCATTAGCCAACCTTTAATTTATTCAATCACATAAGTTATATACCATGATTTAATGAGATACAATGAGATTATTGATAGGATTCTAATGAATAAGTTATACTATGGATTGAATAATGATAGAATTATGGAGATAAGTTATACAGATAAGCGATTGGATATAATAAGTTATTAGTAATAACCTTTTTTTTAACAAAAACGTGATTGCTATCCACGTAGTTTGTGAAATAAGTTTATCAACGCACTAATTGTTTAATTTTGAATAAAAAGAAATATAATCAGGTCAAACAACCAGGGCCTAATGTTAAGTACTTGACTAATGTGAACACACGAAAAATCCAATTTACCTGTAAGGAATTCGCAAGGCAGTGAGGAATCCAGATTTCTTGTACAAAGCTCCATACGCTTCAAGATCTTCCTCCGTGAACCAAGTGGGCAGAGAAGTAGACGGTTCCACCAAATCCATCATTTCTTGGTTTTCTCCTGCTATTGGTATTTCACTTTTGGAGAAGAGAATGTAGATGTTCCGCACAACAGTTTTAGCATCAAACCGGCCAAAATCAGCTTCAGCTCGTCCAGGTTCCTAGTATTGAGATCACAAAACATCAAATCGAAAGCAGCTAAGATTGTTTCTTTAATCCTCATTAGCTCATATGATCAGTCGCCCAAGTTCCAATCCAGGAGGTCTGAGGTTCAACACCCCTCCCGTTTGTCCAATTCATTGGTTCATAGGCTTATGGGGTGGCCTTTGAACCCCTAGTTTACACACTTGGGGCGGGTCCAAAAGACCCTGGCTAGGCGGAGTTCTCAATCATAAAAAAAAACTTAAAAAAGAAAGCAAATTGATAAAGTTACAACACACCTTCCACCTTGACATGTAGAAACCTTCAGGAAGGTTTTTGCCGAATTCAAAGGGACCAGGGGGCACAAATGGCACACCCATAGTTATGATTCCTGAGACCCTCTCTGGGTAGAGAAGGGCAAAAAAGAAACCCGTCCGAGTCCCAAAATCTTTAGCAACAAGAAAAACCTGAGAATAGAAACAGGTTTGATAATCAACCTTTTGTGTAAAAATCAACCAAGGCTCTAATTGTTTCCCCATGATGTTTTGAACAAAGAAACAGGATTTAGCCTTGAAACATTCGCGTATGAGGTTGAGATTGCTTCTACTTTCAAATGTTTGATTATAATCGCAAAAACAGCTTGGAAAACAAATGCAAAAGGTTTCCAGCATTGAAATATTTTCTTGTTGGTTGGAGATTGACTCAAGTTTCTTAATGTTTGATTATAATCATAAAAATAGCTTGGAAAATCAATTATCTGTCAACAACATATGCAGGCCACTATAACAAGATGTATATCCAAACAATTGTCAATGGTGGTTGCAAAATTGAAACAGAAATTTCCTTTATTTTTTTTTTGGCTACAATTTTTGTTATTTTTAAGTCAAGCAAAATTGCCACTAGTTTTCTAAAATAGATAATTGGCTTGGTCTGATGTCAGCTGGGGCGGCATGGGATGAGGTACATATTTTTATTATACAGTACCAACCCAACTCAATCCTGAAAGACAAATTGAGAGAGTAATATTGAAAGAGAATTCTGTAATGTAAACTCTGTATTCAGAACCAAGATAGAGGCTCCATAATATAGGAGCTGGATACAAAAACATCATGATGATACAATTTAATATAATAAGAAAAAGGGGCCGAAAGATGGTGGACGACCGAAAGCGGGGACAAAGGGAATCCTATCTTTTGATATTATATACATGCTATAATTGGTTTCTATACTATAATATATTAACAGATATAGTATTATATTATATTCATATACAATTATATTCATATATTAACAGCCCCTCAGGTCACATTTGTGTCAATAATTTATTTTAAAAATTATACTTATCATTGACATAAATGTGATATGATCAAGTGGCTACCGATATTCAATCGACGTGATTTTTTGCAGCGATGAAGTACTTGACGATTCTTACACATTGAACTGTTTGGATTATTGATAAGGGCTCCATGGTAAGTCCATGGAAGCCCAACAGTAACCTCCAATTCAATTTGAACTGAAGAGAAGCTTTTCCCTAATTTTTTGGGGGTAAATTTTGATTTTATTAGTGAGTTTTGATTTTGTTTTGAATAAATTACACTTTATCCCTTTTAAATTTGACTTTTTTTATTTTTCTCCATTTGGGCCGTTACATTTCAAAATTTTCCCAATACATTTATAACACTAACGTCCGTCAAATTCTAGACAAAAAATGCCACATGGAAGCCATGTGGCATTAAAAATGCATTATTGTATAATCCAAGGGTGATATTAGGGATACAAAATTTTCTAGCAAATGTGGGTGTGGAGTCCTCACACTCATGTAAGGCATTTGGTTATTTATTTAGTAGAAAATTTGGGACTTATAACATTTTCCTTAACACAGACCCCCCAAAACCCGAATCCCTAATATCTGTTGCAGTTTCACAATTTTGGTATAATTATATTAAGTTTTCTTGAAATTTTAATTCATAAATTACTTAAAATATGAGAAATGAAACAAAAAAATAAAATAAAATAAAGAATAAAATAAGAAAATAACTAAACATAAAAAGATCATGTAATTTACCTATAATTAAATTTCTCTGCTAATATACAGAAGATATAGACAGAGGAGTAAGAGGTTGGAGCTTTGAGAAATCAAATTCCAAAAGCCAATCATATATATATATATATATATATATTATTATTAAAAGAAATGTTTTTGCCTTACTTAGGTAGCTCATTATAAGGCCTTATTCTTTTTGAGAAAGGAGTCAACATACCTCTTCACTTTATCGTATTTGTTTTCAATAAAATGAAGGGTCTATGTTCAAAAAAATATTTGTCATCTATTTTTTTTTTTAAGGCAAACTCGGCGAAATGAAAAAAGGTAAAATTATTAAATTAATTAAAAAAATTCATAAATAATATATATAATTTTTTTTACAAATTAAACTATTCAAATAATTAAGGACAAGTTACACTAACAGTTCCTATAGTTTGGGTCTTGTGTTATTTTAATTTTTGACTTTTTAATTGTGACATATTTGATCATGAATTTTAAATATTGTACTAAATAAGGACAATTGAAGATACCATTACTTAATTTCAAGGGAAAAATTGTCAAGTTAATAAAATATAAACTAATTTGACAAAAATAAATGTCAAAAAAATATTTTTAAATTTTTTAAAATTATTTCTACCCACCAAAGATAAAATTATGTAAAAATGATAGATCTTTTAGACATTTAGACATTTATTTATTTTTATCAAATTAATTTTTATTATATGTTTAAATGATGATCATGTAATGGGTGGTTATTATAATTTTAATGTGTAATCGATATATATGAAATATTTTTAGTTTTAGATTTTTCAATTTAATGGATTGGTTTAATAATTATATTAAAGTTGTCACCATATTTGACTTTTGAAAAAATAGAAAATAATTTTATAAAAATAAAAATAACTACCTATTACATGATCATCATCCCAACACATAATAAAAATTAATTTGGTAAAAAAATAAATATCTAAAATATTTATCAATTTTACATAATTTTTATATTTAGTGGGTAGTTATAATTTAAAAAAATTCAAAAATATTTTTTTGACATTTATTTTTATCAAATTAGTTTATATTTTATTAAATTGATGATTTTGTTCTTAAAATTAAACGATGATATCTTTAATTGTCCTTATTTGAAACAAGATTCAAAATTTATGGCCAAATATGTCACAATTAAAAAATTAAAAATCAAAATGACATAAACTCCACACTATAAAAACCGTTAATATAATCCGCCCAATAAGTAAATCAAGATTCACATTAGGTACACAGGTCTTTTAAATTTTCCCAAATTAAAATTTGAAATTCATGACAAAAGTGAGAGCTTTGGATTATGTTTGGTTTACGAATTTGAAAAAGAATTAGAAAAGTAAAAGGCAAAGAGAAAATATTGACAAATTGTGAGTTGAATACATTTATATTTTTTACTAATTTCACATATTTTTTTCTTTTATTTTCTAAACTTCTCTTTAAATTTATAAACCAAACAGAGCGTTAAAAAATACAATAAATGATAATCAGAGCCGTTCATGCCTTTTTCATTCGAATCTCGAGGCAATCGAGTGGTGTTAGATTCATGCACCGACTCGTGATCCGTCACACGCTTATGAGCGATGTGGTTCTTCTGCATGGCCTGCAAAAGAATGGGAAAACTTGTAATCAAACTGAGATGAAAGTTGTGCAAATTAGAAAGATTAACAGAAGAAGCTACTTACAAGCACCATGGATTTTGTGGCCGAACGGATGGCCTTCAGCTCGGTCAAGTGATTGTGGTGCTCCATATCTGCTGGAAGGCAAACACTCTTGGCAAGATTGAATGCCATTAAGTGATCTTTTTCAGCAACCACCGAATCAGTGTCCTGAATAGCTCGGTTCTGGAAAGTGATTTTTGGAGCCCATTTAGAAGAGCTAGCTCGGTCTGAGCGCGCAGGTGGTGAGCTCGGTGGAGTGGTTTGGGAAAGGATGGTTTCTTCTTCATCGACAAGGCTTTGCTCGGCAGTTGTAGTCCGGGTGCGCTTGCTCGCCCGAGATGACGAAGGTTGTTGGCTTGGAAGAGCTACCACGGCCTCAGTAAATTGACCGGTTTGTGGTACCTCGGCTTGGTGTGTTTCGGTTATGAGGGCCCTTACTCTATTCCTCTTCGCCATTTCTTGTTCAGCAGTAGTACGGACCAGGTTGATTTGAGGCAAGTTTGGGTCCGGTTCAGGAGAGGCTTCTAGAAAAAAGTCAGTTACCTTCACTTTTCGTCGACTGCTATATCTGTATGTCGGTTCAAAGTTCAGTAGCTTGGCCTAACTTCTTTCAGGATATCGCAGTGCGGCGCGAAGTGTGTCCAAATTGGGGTAACTATACAGCGACTTGAGATGGGCTGAATCTGCATAATGAAGACAAAAGTTAGACCCTTTGACTTTTTGGTATGGGTTGTTGGCTTTTTGGCTAATTAAGGGCTAGTTTGGCATGTACTAAATAAGCCAAAAAGTCAAAAAGTCACTATCTTATTTAAGTCACATCATCTTATTTAAATCACATCACCTCTCTAACACATCACATCAAACCCAACCCAAACCCAACCCAAACCCACCAATAAGTCAAAAAGTGCACTTTTTTAGGACATCCCAAACCAAATATAATACATAATTAAATAGTAGAGGGTAAAAATGGTCATTTTATCATCTAATCCAAACAGTGATTAGTCCCCCCAAAACAATCCCATACCCCCCGGACACAAGAGTCCCCCATATGGGGGATAAGGAGTCCGGCAGACTAAAAAAAAATCAAACGGCGGATAAGGAACACTATTTGGATTACAATCCAAATAGTGAATAGTCCCCCCCTTATCCCGCGAATCAAACACGCCCAAACTGACACAATGTAAAAATGGTAAATTACACTTCAAAAGCTAATTTCTATTAAAAATTAGAAAGAAAATAACACAAACAATCACACGATATAAAGTTTTTAGAAGGGTGTGGCTTGTTTCTAATTTATTTTGTGGATTGAACAATATTGTTGGGTTTATAAGATTTATCCTGAATTCTGTTTTGATAATTTAAATTGTTTAATGTATAAAATTTGTCGAGTACTTTATCATTATAAAAAATCACATTGATCGGATATCAATAGTTACTTAATCGATCAAATATAACTATCGATATTCGATCAAAATGATTTTTTACAAAAATAAAATATTTAACGAGTTTTATACATACGATTTGAATTATTAAAACATACCCATGATGGTCTCCACAAACCCAACAACACGTTTCAATTTGAGATCGAATTGGAGAAAAACCAAATCCTTTTTAAAAATCCTTCATATTTTGTGGTTAATTTTTTTCACGTACTATTTTTATTGGTCGAACATGCTATTAACGTGGAATTTTACATCCATGAATAACTTTTTGTTAGGGAGGCAGTTGG